GTGGGACATACCCGGGTCTGGAATCGTGAGGGTTATTATTGTTCTGGCCAAAACCAAAGCCACCTCCGTTGTTATTGTTGTTTTGACCAAAACCGCCTCCATTGTTATTATTATTGTTTTGTCCAAAACCAAATCCACCTCCGTTATTGTTGTTGTTCTGGCCAAAGCCAAATCCGCCTCCATTATTGTTATTTTGACCAAATCCAAAGCCACCTCCATTGTTATTATTTTGACCAAAACCAAAACCGCCTCCATTATTGTTATTTTGGCCAAAACCGCCTCCATTGTTGTTTTGGCCAAATCCACCTCCAGTATTGTTTTTCTGACCAAATCCAAAGCCACCTCCATTATTATTATTTTGACCAAAACCACCTGCGTTGTTTCCATTCATACCGAAGCCACCTCCCCTATTAAATCCCATTCCACCGTTATTTTGACCAAAGCCACCATTATTCTGGCCAAAACCACCATTATTCTGGCCAAAACCACCATTGTTTTGACCAAAGCCACCATTGTTGTTCTGTCCGAATCCACCATTGTTGTTCTGTCCGAATCCACCATTATTTTGTCCAAAGTTGTTTCCGCCTCCAAATAAGCTATTGCCGTTATTTCCAGCCCCGGAAAAGTTAGATCCTCCAAAGCCAGTTCTGGAATTTCCAAAAGAACCCAACATGGTTTATTACTTGTAAAGTGACAACAAGAATAATGATCGGGGTTTGATTCTTTGTTGTTAATATAGATTTTGAAAAAAGATCAACGTGTAGATCCCTATTTTGTCCTTTTGCTTTTTATCTCAATTCCTGAACAAAGAATCGTAGGCAGCTTAATGAACTCTATCATCAAGCTTTTAGGCATTATTTAGATTAGACTTTGCATGGATTTTAAGTTATATACAGCCGCTCAAGGGGTAGCTCATGGATTCGACAAGTTTGTGTGCATTAGCTGTCTCTTTCTGTTTGGGGATATCTGCTTGATAGCGGGATTTATAATGCTTTTTTCTCCTGATACCAGGCAGTATAATATTCAAAAGTATTGTGTTTTATTGTCTTTTTACTAGATATAATGACGCTGTAGTAACATGGAATAATAGCCATTTTAGCGAATTTAGCGGATCGAGCTTTTTCTGTAGAATACAAAACAATAATCATTCAATTCTCCCCGTATCATCTTCCTATGGGACCTATTATCCATACCGTGATACTTGCGATCTAAAAGGAGATCAGTCATGTCTTTCGTATCCAATTCTATACCATTCCGCTGTGATTCCTGTTTCAAGCTCAGAATTCCATAGTATCACTCTTTTTAGCCAGAAGAATAATTCGGCTGTTTCATCATTTTTCGATATAACAATTCCGAATTCTCAGGAATTTATAGTGTCTAGAAACAATATTGGCTGTTCAGAAGGCAGTCAGTAGGATATTTGTGTCGGAATTGAACATAGAGCGACTTGTAGCTCTCTGTGCTCTGCAAAAGGAGGCACGTGGAACCAAACCGATCACTCTTGTCATATTGTTGGCTATCTTAGTAATCTGTGTGTTCGGATCAAGCGAAACGAAGCGAATTGGGTAGTAGATGATCCTCCGTCAATTCTTTCGCTTCCAATTGATTTTTAGTTTATTTGAACTCAACTCAGATAAGACGGATACCGGTTGTTGGTATGATTTTGGTGCCAATATCCAGTCCTTGGCCACTTCTCAAAAGTGGTTAACATCTGTGTATGTTTCTGCCCCCACACAGAATCTCACGGTCGAGATTCGCCATGCTGCCGATCCGGAGGTGCGAGTGAGTGCAATCACTTATGGCTGCAGCTCTCAGAACCAAGAAAGCACGCAATGTCTTGGACTTCCAAAGTCTAGTTCCTATGATACCATAACAATTCTTTTGTGTGTTGGATTTCTATCTGTGTGTTGTGAAATTGGAGTAAGCGATCTGCTGGAAATTGAATCATAGAGTTATTTCTTATACAAAAAGTCCACCATGTCTTCTTCTTCTTCTTCTTCTTCTTCTTCTTCTTCTTCTTCTTCTTCTTCTTCTTCTTCTTCTTCCTGCATTACTGAGCCCCCTGTCCAAGCATCGTCTTGTTTTGGCTTCTTGTAGGGGTTGATCCGTAGCAACAGAGCCAGCTCAGTCTGCCCATGCGCTTCAACTCGCGGTGAATTTTGCAACAGAAGTGCCAGCGGAGGCTCCGATCGAAATCCCATTGGACTCTCCCATGAAAAAAACGGAGAATCTTCCGATCCTGGAACAGAGGGAAGCCGTTCAGGAGAATGATGCTCTGTTTTACGATCGATCTCCTTGCGCAGAAGCTTTGGTGCACATTTCATACACTGAAGCACAGAATGACTTGGATATGGAGGGAAATTGCTCATTGCAGCATGCAGAAAGTAATTATTCGAGCCACTATGGAGGAAATGCGTATGAAGGATACGAAGAGGGAATATAGAAAAGTCCTTTTCTATCTGCTTGTTTGTTTCACTAAATGAAGTGGTTCGAGTGGAGGGATGCCTCACTACTGCTATTTGCTACGTTCGTTAAACGAGAAGTATAGAAACTCAACATATATCGGATATACTGTTAATCCTAAAAGAAGGATTAGGCAGCATAATCGAGAGGTTTTTAAGGCAGAGGGTTGGATAATAAATAGATTAAGAATGGAGCTTTCAAGACTCATCGAGCCATGCCTTGGGAAATGATTTGTGTCGTCTGCGGATTTCCAGACAAGAGGGAAGGCCTGCGATTTGAATGGGCGTGTCGACTTTTATAAGATTTTCGATTTTCTAGGGCAACATCCTGTTCATAGCAAAATCTGTCGTGAATTTATATCTGCAACGCTAGAGAGACGTCGAAAGTACATCTCGAAGCTGGAGATTGCTCTACGGATGGTTTCGGTGTATTTCTTCTATGACCTAGTTATCTCATTCCCCTTGGAGTGAAATGGATCTTTCCATGATAATAACAAACTATACAGTATTCAATGAAGCCCAACTGCTGTATAGTAGTTTCCTTTCGTCCTTACAAGTGTTAAATCAGCCTCTGCAGTACTTATATGAGGACGATAAGATGGAGGACGATGAGATGGAGGACGATGACACGGAGGACGATGAAATGGAGGATAATGAGATGGAGGACGATGACACGGAGGACGTAGAGCAAATCACAGAACAGGTGAAAGACTTCTCCAAATCTACAGCGATTCAAAACTCTAACTTTAATCCATATTTGGATCTGTACATTCCGAACAACTACTGCCCGTCATTTACTGTAAAATGGAATGTTTATTGAACAAAGAGGGGTGCAATTATGTGCGAATCGAAAAAATAAGATCCACAAATTTATCATAAGACATATTGACTCTTCCAGATTCATCTCTATCTAGCTCCATATATCGAATTTGAGAGAGCTGTAACTCAGTTACTAGCTACACGATAGTGCGACCACACAAGACCATTACCTTAATGAACTCATCCATTGATATTGATCCAGAACGATCTGTATCGGAGGAAAAGAATACAGTTTGATATGTAGTAGGAGATAAGTTGATACTAGGTGTTACCTACCTCGCTGAATTATACCCTATCATAATAAGAGCCTGTTGGAGCTCGCCGAAATCAATAGATCCGCTTTTGTCTGTGTCAAAGTAATCAAAAGCTTCCTTCCACCTCCAAACTTCATCGATTAAAGACTTGAACTCTTCAAATTCTAGCTGACCACTAGTGTCAAATAGGGACTCCATACATACTTCCGATTTCTATCATGCTTAGCAAGCAGAATATTTACAGTAGGAAGAGAAAACTGGAGGCCTCCAACACTCAAAGCACTTTGTAATTCTTTACAATCAAGTTTTCCGCTACATCTTATGAACTCCCAGCAGACACACTTTTTATTTAAATCGACCATGTTGTATATAAAATATGCACTGCGTTCAGCAGTATCCGATTCTTCTGACTTGGGAGGTTCACCTACAATGGGAATCCACAACGGATAATACTCTCCCCAAGTCGGCAATGACAGTGAGGACACTATAATTAAAAGCAGAGGAAAACTTCCTACCAAATCTATAATAGTATCATTAACCGAAGTAACCATGCCTCCACAGTTGCTACAGGTTACCATCCATGGTTTGCTCATTCAAAGAGGAAAGAACCAAGATCACCAAAGAGAAAATAAAAAAGTACTTTCTGTACGAGATAAGAATAGTCTTTCACCTAATCAAGGGATTTAGAGAGAATTATTATTGAGAGAGTAGAAAATATGCATGACGATGAAGCACTGAAAAAGGGATATCAACAAATAGGGATAAAAGGAAGTGATTAGAAAGATAGAAAAAGTACAAAAAACAGGGAAATAACGGCTACTCAATCGAACTGGGTTGTATTCTTCATATTATATTTTAATGGTTACTGTTACTATCACTGTGATTGAGGCAAGGAAACTGCGTGATGTCCAGATTCTTGGCATCCAGGATCCGTTTGTGATCATCTCTACGGATAAAGAGTCCCGTCAAACGAAAACCGACAATAATGGGGGGACTCGCCCATGTTTGGATTTTGAATTTTATTGAATTTAGACTGGAATGACGTAAAGACTCTCAATTGTCGTAATTATGAGGGTGTGCTGGTTTTTAAAATGTGATTGTTGTTTTCGATAGTTATTCTATAGTATGAACAAGAACATTATTAAAGATAGCGAGATTGATAGTGGTACATTATCTATGCCCAAGATTGCTTCCTATGGTGGGTACATCGATACTTGGGTACCTCTTGCGAGTGGAGGTGAACTCCATGTCATTGTGAAACTAGATAATTGTAAGAATGTGGTTGGTGTGTTATATTTTAGTTGCGGGAGTTAACAAGGCCGGATATGCTCCTCAACCTGGATATGCTCCTCAGCCCGGATATGCTCCTCAACCCGGATATGTTCCTCAGCCTGGCTACCCGCCACAGCCTGGATATCCTCCTCAGCCTGGATATCCGCCACAGCCTGGCTACCCGCCACAACCTGGTTATCCTCCACAACCTGGATATCCTCCTCAGCCTGGCTACCCGCCACAACCTGGCTACCCTCCTCAGCCTGGATATCCTCCTCAGCCTGGATATCCTCCTCAGCCTGGTTATCCTCCTATGTATCTTTGTTTTCTCAAACACAGTAGTTTATGTTCATAGAATCGATAACGACATTTACATCATACTTCTTGAGCGAGCACTTGTTAATTTGGCAGACGGTGTCTTCCAATTCCTACAAAAATACTTTCACATTCCTATCTACTACCTCATAGCAGCGGTTTCTGTCCCAGCCCAATTCATTCTTCATCAAAACAGTACATTTCGGTAAACACTGCATAGTCAGCCACGTATCTGTCACTCCGATACGTAACCTTCTCATAATCACATCACTCAGTCGCACAGCCATCTCCTGTTGCACGCAATACGGAACTTCAGCTTCTAGATAGGGTAAGCTTTCGTGAAGTCGGGCTGTGCCTCGTTTTTTCGCCAGTTCAGCGACCTCAAAAGCGCGATAGCCATAGAAATGACTCAGATGCTCCGCGATATCCGTAGGCATCTGATAGAACTCTTCCAAATCACGTTGCACATCGATCTGCTGCTCGAAATAGCGTGCGCGTTTCGAACCGTGCTCCTGCGGACCTACCAACTCGTTCGCGCCGACATACTTGAAGTTTTTGGTCCGACACTTTCCGATCTGAAGGTGAATGGGGAATCGAGAAACGGACTGGGAGGGACGTGGAACGCTCGATTGAATCGCAGAGATCTTCGGCCATGTTCCGAACGGTGGTCCACTTTCCTCCTGCAATGGTGATGAAACCATCTCCTTTCTGCCAGATTTCATGGGTTCGCGAGATTCGCTTCGTATCCACAGTTCCTTTCTTTGATCGAAAGCACCACCCTGATTTTACGTTCATTTCGCGAACGAGCGGCCGAATTCCACTCCAAACGGCTAAAATATCGTCCTTCGTGATTGGCTTATGCATGAACTTGTTGATTTCGGCGAAGATGAGTTCGATGTCTTCGTCGGTTACATCGGGTTGGTCTTCTATGGTACAGGGAGTGTCGGTAGTTCCGACAAGCGTGCTAGATTAAAGTGACAATAGCAAACCAACTAGTTCTGCCATGGAAGCATAAACATAACGCGATTATCCGAAGTCGTGGTGATAATGCCTGCCTGTCGAGGGCAAAGCGATCCTTGGAGCAGGAGATGAACTCCTTTTGATGGTACAATACAGTCCACATGGCGCACAGGACTGGGAGAAAGCGCTTCGTACATCTTGATAATCGAATCGGCAAAGGGTCCTGTTGCGTTCACTGTCACTTTTCCACGAATATCAATCTCGTTTCCGGTTAGAGTATCTCGCACATGCACGCCTGTCACAATTTCGTGAGGCGATTGTGTGTGATTGGGACAGGGACTGTGCAACAAACTCATTACCTCCATGTAATTCACAGAGACAGCGCCATTCTCGACAGCTGTTCGGTTGATAATGTTGTTAAGTCGGCTGTCATTCGACTGACCGTCGTAGTACCTACACGGTAGAGAAGGAGCGCAAAGATTACACCAATCCCCCTTTCGCCCAATCAAAATTCATTCTAGGAAACACATACTCCATTTCTTTCCACTTTATCGCATGACTAGCGAATGAGTAGGACCGATGGGAGTGTACCTCCTGGGAAGTCCGCCTCTCAAGGCAATGATATCGTACATGAGCAGACCCATTCGAACATATTGCATTTGAAACCAGGAGTTTACGGGGATGACAGTGGCTATGGGACGGGTTAGATATGGAGCATTTTGCAACATAAACTTCCTTTCATGCAAAGCTTCCTATTTGTGATTTGGATTCAATAGGGCTACAAAAACTAACATAAATTCCTTCCAGTTTAGATGTTTTACGGCATCTTCAAGATACCGAACTCCTCCATGGAGGAGATTCGTAGAACGGCTTGACGTTCCAGAGGAGAAATCGTATCTCTCAACAAGCGCAACCTTGTATCCTCGGAGAGTAGCGTCTAAAGCTATCATGGATCCAGTACTTCCTCCCCCAACAACGATGACGTCAAATTCATTTTTGCACAAATTATTAATCAACTGCAATAAAGGAATCCTATCTCACAGGTTGAGGATATACTCTCTCGTGGTGGAGGCTTACTGAATCGATACGTTTTGTTCCCCACCTAATAATCAGAATGTTTAAACACAGTAAACAATAATATTTTCTGCAAGGGTAGAGAACGCACGCGTGGCAATAGGTAAAAAAGCTTTTCGGATCACAGATAACATTTCAATAAAACAATATATGGACCAGTGGAAGTGTCTTCGTTAAAATACTTCGTTCTTCCTCTTCTTACATTTGTAATCTAATGTATTCAGCTCATCACCCAGATTGAGCAAATCGTGTTGCTGGGGAGAAATCCCAGATATCTTGTAAGTTTTGCAAATCTCCCTTAAGGCGGAAAACCTCTCGGTATATTTCTAACAAACACATAAGATTTAACACAGAATATCAGAAGCGCATTAATAATGTGGTTCAGTAAAACGAGCATTGTTCTATCCCTAAAAGAAGGAAATAATAATTTACATCATAGTATGGCTCATAATGGAAGCTATTCTCATCCATAAACATCAGATCGCAAACATGCAACAACAACGCAATAATGCAGAAAGTAGCCTAAATATTGGTTAATATCGCCATGCATGATCAAATAAATCCACTTACCCAGATCATCCAAGTGTCTCCAGCAAAACAGGAAATGAGCATCAGAAAGATGATGATCGTTAATGTAATTTTCTGGCGAGCATTGTCATACATGGTTACCAAGTTAACTCTCTTAAACGCCTCTTCTTTATAGAGAATTGAATGGTGGAAACTGGAGTTTCTACTCTATCGATCGTGTTGATTTATATTTTCATAATCTAAATATATGCAATTGAACAAAAAAGACTTTGGTGACTGTGATAACACATATCACGTTCGAGAAGTGCTTTCTTGGAAATTGCAAAGATTTCCAATTGAATCCTTTCTAATAGATAACATTATGATACGGGTCCAGAATAAACACTTTACAAACTTAGATTACACCAAGTGTTTGAAAATGACTAGCTAATTCGAAAATTCGTAGTAGAATAATTAATGAGGACACTAAGAGAATGATTGCTCGATTTTACTATGTGAGCGGAAATCAACGTGTATTTCAATACTGCTGCTGCTACTACTCTACTACTACTAATAATAATAGCTTATATTCTATTTTATAATCAAATGGTAATGCAGCAGATTAAGTTTATGCCAATTGTTCAATGTTAGTTTGTACCTAACAAGACTAGGTATCTAAAACGGATCAGAGTCGTCTCCACCACAAGGCATTTACTTTTTCTGTTCAATAGAAAACGATTTAACAAGAACAAAAAAGTACCATATTATTGGAATCGTCTGAAGCTTCAGAATAATTTGATTGTACAACTATTTCCATTGCAGAGTGAATATTACTCTACCTTCTTGCTAGAGCATATTGATTCCAAAAGAGAAATTGAGTAGACAGAGATGGATACCAATTATATTCATAAAAGAGGGTCCTCAGATCTTAATGAAAATTATGAAGGCAGGTGTTTTTTGAGATCAGTAATGGAGTAGAAAAGAAAATAGCGAAACGACCAAAATCGTTTCTGGAATTATGTATTTGAAGTGAAAAGTGATGACTTTTAGATAATTCGACTCAATCGTGGAGGCGAGATTGGAAGATTGGAAGCCGATACTCAATCGAAAAGATTGTGGGTAATGGGAGTTATGGAGAAGTGGCAAAGGCTTACGACCATCAGACAAAGGAATATGTGGTGATACAAAGAAGAACTTAGGTATAGGTAGCAATCAAGCGAATACCCAACTTATTTATGGATAATCAGGACACAAAACGGATCCTTCGCGAAATCTATATTCTTCGTCATCTTGATAGTTCCTTTGTTGTGGGTTTGAAGAATGTATTTCCATCGCCCAACTTTAATACGGATAAAACAATGTACGTGCTGTTCAGCTCTTTCTCTCGTAGATATGTCGTAATGGATTATATGATAACAGATCTCTATAAGGTGATTTCCAGTCCCCAATTTTTTGAGATCGATCATGTTCGCTATATATTGTATCAAATTCTTTGTGGCATGCTTTATATCCACTCGGCTGGTGTGATCCATCGCGACATAAAGCCCGCAAACATCCTTCTAAACGAGGTGAGAGCCGTGTAATACAGATGTGATGGATGTAGGATGTCTCAGTGAAGATCTGCGACTTTGGCTTGGCACGGGAGATTGTTTCCCTTCCGCATACGCATCCCAAGGCCCCCTCTACTGGACGAGAGTCTTCCAGTAGCTTCCAATCATCTCGTTGTAACCTAAGTTTAAGTACAGTGAATACTGAAAGTCATGGAGATGCTCCATCTCCGGTTTCAATCAAACGAACAATGACAAGGCATGTCGTGACACGCTATTATCGATCTCCCGAGCTATTGGTCATTGGGGACTACACGAAGAGTGTGGATATTTGGTCAGTTGGTTGCATTACTGCTGAACTTCTTCAGATGCTTCAAGAAAACGAGCCTGATTATCGGAATCGCCATCCTTTGTTTCCTGGAAAGTATTCTTCGTTGAGTCCTCGATGGAGCAAGTCGCCTCTCTCCTATCAGGACAATCTCAATATCGAATTAAAAGAAGACGATCAGATTTGTGTGGTCTGCGACGCGCTGGGAAGGCCGCCGCGGCGTTTTCTAGATCGCATTCCGTATGAGCATGTTCGGGAGCAGTTGGAGAAGTACAAGGAGAAGAAAATCGACTGGAACCAGTACTTCCGATTTATCCCGAGTGAGCTTTCCGATCTACTGAATCATATGCTGGTAGGGGAGAGGAATGGAGTAGACATGTAGGAATATAACGATGAAGAAAGGATCGATGTGAAGAAGGCTCTGGAACATCCTTTCTTCGAGTCTGTTCGCGATGTCGGCTTAGAGGTTGAGTGTGAGAGTCCTGTGGATCTTTCGAAGCTGAATACGATCGCGACGATGAATATGGACGAGATGAATCATTTCCTAGAAGAGGAATTATCTTTTTGGGAAGGCAAACAATCTCTTTAGGGTGCTTATAAGCAGGAATGCGTTTTTATAAGTGAGCTCTTCTTTAGAATTTGTTTGAGAAAGAGAAAATAACGTGCTGCAGAGTTATAGGCGTGATGTGCAGTGATCACATATTCACCAACAGTATTCTTTGGGCAAAAGCTGCAAGCACACCAGTGAAAGGCAAAACAATACAATCATAAAATGAAAATAGTCTCTTTCGTGTTCCATTTGTAGTTCTTACCAATATAAACGCATAAAAACGTATCTGGCAAATATTCATCGAAGAGTAAAAACTATTCTAGCAGGCACCGCTCGAAAAACAAAAATATCATACAGAAATCAATCGAAAAATGGAAAAGCAAAAGAAAAGGCATGGTTTCAGCGTATTCATTTATTATTCTCTTGAATTCTTCTGTTTTTGGGGGTTGAATTGTGTAACAATGGAAGGAAACGTGTGTGGTTCATCAATGGTGAATAGGATGAAGAAACTATTGTGTTTGGTGTTTTTCCTTGTTTTTGTGAATGTAAGCTGTGTCATGGACTGTTTACGTTAGAGTAAGCCTGTTTTTGAAATGGAGAAAGAAGACGTCACATATTATACATCTCACAATAAGACTCTTATTCTGAAGATGTATATGAACGTAGTTATTGAGTGCGTGCGGCTCAGTATTAGTGGTGCCCTTATTGTAAACGTTTTGCTCCAGTGTTTCAGCAATTGGCTAATTCCTTTGATGATAAGTACACATCATTATGGAATTTGATTTAGACCTGAAGTTGTTCTGGGTCAAGTGGATTGCCAGCTCAATAAAAGACTGTGCAGTGATTATGTCGTGTATGAATATCCCTCAGTTCGACTAGTCAAGCCAGGCGGAGAAATGCTTGCCTATATGGATAAGCTGAATGCTACCCAAATTATGAGTTTCGTGTATGGAATGACAGGTTTGTTTTTCATCTGCTATCTTCCTCTCAGGAATCGGTTCTCCTGTAGCTCCTCCTGTCGACCTTCTCACATACCTGTCTCCCGCGGAGATTCCGGATAAGATAAAGGACAATGGCCATATCAGTGTTATCTATGTGTGGCGTAACGGCGACGACAACACGCAAGGAGCCGAGATCGCGCGTCACTTAGCGTGGAACTTCCTGGTAGATCCTTTGGTGCAATTCTACCAAACTCCGATGTCGAGCGATCTCCCCAGCTCCGTTCTGAAGGTGATGTCCACTAACTTCCCTCAATATCTGGTACCATTGCCTGGGCTTTCTTCTCATTTGTAGGTGATTTTCCATGGGAAGGTCAGACGGTACGACGTGGATCCGAGCGACAGCAAGGAGGATCAGGAAGAAATGCTGCTGGATGTGCTGAATATGTATGCGGGCACCTTCCTGACCATCGACGGAAGCCAGTACTACCCGTCAGGAAGAGACCAGAAGATGGAGAGCGCGTTGAAGCGAATCAAGACATGGGACAGCAATGGACTGGCGATGATTCGAAGAGCGGTGGAGGAATTGCTGCGGACGAAGACTGAGTTGAAGGAGAGGTACAACAAGGCGCTGGATCTGCTGGAGAAGGACGGAATGAAAGCGATCTGGAAGAAATGGCACCAGAACCGAAGATTGGTGGAGCAGTTGGAGGACGATGATCCGAAGCTCGAGGAAGCGGAGATGGAGTGCATGGTACTGAGGTCGCTGACCAAGTATTTGAAGAAGAAGAGTTTGGCAGGACCGGGGAAGGCAGCAGCGGGTGAAGCGAAGAAAGAGGAGGTGGAGAAGCCAAAGGAAGAGGCTCCAGAGGCTCCAGAGGCTCCAGAGGCTCCAGAGGCTCCAGAGGCTCCAGAGGCTCCAGAGGCTCCAGAGGCTCCAGAAGCGATGAAAACGGACATTCCTAAAGAGGAAGTGGTGGTCCAGGAGCAAGAGAGAGCTGAAACACCGAAGGAGGAAGTGGAGAAGCCAAAGGAAGATAGAAAAGCAGAGGAAAAGCAAGAAGAAGAAGAAGAGCTTTGAATTGTTTGTTCCACAATCTTCCTTCTCTTTGCATAGATCGCGAGGTGGGAACACAAAAGTCTTTTAGCAAAGCCAATCCAAAGCCTCCTTACTGATCTATTTTTATTCCTACTTGCTTTATGAGTGTCAGAAAAGCTCCGTCAGCAAAGTATACAGCTTTGACCGCCACTTGTGCATCGACCGTTACTCAGATGGTAGTTGTTCCATGCGAGACAATCAAAATTCAACTACAGGTATGAATTCCTGTTTTGATGGGAATGTAGTTATTTCAGAAGATGAACGGAAAAGGCCAAAGTGCACTTATGAGTAGTTTGCGTTTCATTTATCGGAATGAAGTATGGAATTAGGAGGACACTTTGACCCAATAGGGATTCTTAGGTTTTTGGAGAGGCTATTTCGTTTCATTATCGTGTAGTTTACCATCATGTGCTATCTATTACTCTGTTTTCGAAACTCTGCGAAAGTCTCTTTATCGTGAAAGCGAAAAGCATCCTGGGTATGTGCTCCTTGTCCTCTTAACGCAAAGCTTGCTGCCCTTTATCCCCGCACTTGCTAGTAGCATAGGTCAAACCGTAACTTGTTTGACAACCTCTCCCATTGACCGTTTCCGAACTCAGTTTTGGGCAGACCGACACCAAAAAGTGTCTCGCCTGCTAAAATTAACAATCAATCAAGCCAAATCCGAGGGCTTACCGAGCCTGTACCACGGCTTGAAGCCCCTGCTCGTCCGAGACATTCTCTTTTCTTCGATTTACTGGACATCCTACGAGCGACTTCGCTCCTCCACGCACTCTCTCGGCGCGCCGCCTATCTTCCAGAACTTCATCGCTGGGTCTGTGGGTGGGATGCTGACCAGCGCCGCCATCACGCCGATCGATCTTGTGAAGACGAGGCAGCAAGTGCTGAACACGAAGGAGAGTATCTGGCAAACGCTGCGGTTCATTCAACGGACGGAGGGCGTGCGAGGACTGTTCCGAGGCCTGACGCCGCGTGTGATCCAAACGATGCCTGTAATGTCGATAATGATGATTATTTATGATGGACTGAACCGGTTCATTTTGAGCTTGGAGAATGATGATTCCAGTGAGTCGAGTGTTTGTTTGAAAACAGAAGAGAGACGGGGACGAACTATCTTGCGGATCTCACCGCACTTGGGGCATTTATAGGTTGTGGACTGCGCGTGAGCACGATGGGAAAACGATACCTTGAGTGCGAGCGAACGAACTTCCTCATCTGGCGTTTCGATCGATCCGATGGCTCCGGGAGTGGGGACAGGGAACATACTCGAGATTGCAGTGATAATTGTTTCGACTAGGAGTGAGACTGACAGAGGATTGCGAGTACTCGTCCATGAAGGAGACCACTCCTCTTTGTGGAAGGATGTAATCGTGAGACAGATCTTTTTATTCACCTCAAAACGACCGTTTTCCTACAAATCACAGAAAACAGCGAGTTGCACTGTAAAAAAGTAAATATCGGGAGGAGACATCGGAAAGTCAGAAGGGAGCACGATCTTTCCATGGTATACACCCTTTTCGTAAGGAGTCTCTGTAGGACCTCTTAAAGTGAAATGCCATTCAAAGGAGTTGTTCTATTTCATGAACAGCAAAATCGTAGCAAAAACTGGAAGAGGAGCAGCATGAAAGTCCGGATTGGTGTTCTTCCGCATCAACTGGATCTCCTACACGTTCACTACACTCTCTGAGGGGTACTTTGTTAATTCGTCCGATTGTGATTTTCCGAGACATTTTTTTGCAAATTATAGAGGAGACATAGTTACCAAACAATACTGGGTTGTATTGAGAATCACATACATTTCTTTGGGTTTTCTGGAACAATGGAAAAGGAGCAAATATTAGGAGATATGAAGCCTACTGAAGCTTGGACAGAGGATTCATGGGATCCCTAGTAGAATTGGGCGGCTTGCCTGACTTGTGTAGTAAATATACTGCGGAAAAGAGAAAGGAGATCTTGAGTACCATGAGTAAGAAAGCTCGGGAAGAGCAAAAGAAGTTGGAAGTAGCTTTTTGTCTTTGGAGACTGAGGGATAGGAAGCGAGAAAGAAGGAGGAGGAGGAGCGAAAGCAGCAGGAACTAAAGGAGGAAGTACAAGTCTTGCCTTGTTTTACTATTGTAGCTTGAAAGAAAGCAGAAAGAGGAAAAGGAAAAGCAAAGCAAGAAAGAGAATGAGAAGAAGAAGAAAGATAAGAAGAAAAACGACACGCTGATCCCCACCTACACAAAAGCAGAGCTGAAGCGTGCGGAAGCGATAAGACGAGAGAAGCAGCGTGAGAGAGATATCAAAAGAAACGGTATATCCTGTGTGTTTTTGGAAGTTGATTTCTAGAAGAGGCAAAAGAGAAGGAGCGCGAGATGGAGGAGGCGATGCTGGCAGAGTCTGCTGCGGAATCCGCTTCCTCAGCCTCTACTGCCGAGGAGGAGTACAAAGTGGACCAGTCGGCTCATTGGTGTCCGTTGTTCGTCGGCTTCTTGGTGGTTGTCCTGCTGTTCGTGCTGGTGGTTCGCTTGTTTCCGACCTACCGCCTGGTGCTGGATGTCCCGTATGGCTCGCTGAAAGCGTTCTATGAGCTGGTGGACCGAATGAAGGGCGTGTATGGGTCTCGCCTGGTGCTCAGCGAGATGGACGACCGCGTTCCCGAGAAGGTGAAGCAGCTCTATTTCCAGATTAGTTTCTCGAAGTTCAGCGAACTCTGCGATTTCTATCTTTCGCCGTGGTTCAAGCATCTGGTCCACTACTACTGGATGGATTGTTGTGTTTGTTGCAAACAGAGAAAGACAGATTTCAGAAGTCGATCACTGGCACTCCCCAAGTGCACATCTGCTCGATGTTCAGCAGGTTCTGACCCATCGCAATCCGGAACCAGCCATTCTCGCCCCAATACGTGCCCCAGCTGTTGCGAACGATCCAGTAGGGCGTTCTCGTCTCCTCGTCCACTCCCCAACCAGTCACTTCCACGGCGTGCTTACCCAGCCACTTGCCTTCTCGGCTTGTGAACACTCCGCCCGTGTAGTCCAGGAAGGTCTGCGTCACGTCCATCACACAGCTGATGGGACCTCGCGCGTAGATCTCGGCCTGCATGTGCGCAGCGTCCTTCACGTAGCCGTACTCGCTCACCTTCACGCGGCGATACTCCTCGACAGCGAAGCAAGGCTCGTCCGGCCAGCAGTTTTTGCATCGATTGATGGGCTCGCAGTACTTATCGATCGCCTCGTACACCGCGCAGGTCTGATCGGGGATTCCCTCGCGGTAGGCGTAGGAATACACCACATCAGGAAGGCCGCCATGGCAAGAACCGCCTCCCGAGCAGTTGATGACTTCCTGCTCGGAGAGGTTGATCGTCGGCCACTTGCCCTTGCGCATCAGGTTGATTCGGTCCGACAGCGCGGAGGTGGGAGCCTGCGCCCAGCACGATCCGCAGTAATGAGGAATGTGCTGGTTCTTGTCCCACGTCGCGTAGTTATAGCCGTCAATGTTGCGGATATCGTAGCTCGTCGGAAGATCCTCCGTCTTGATGTAGGTGTGCGGAAGCGGCGATTTGATCACTTCCTCCATTTCCTTTCGGCTCTCTATCAATGAGTCCCCACACATAGACACCGACCCAGCACGCAGCCTTGAGGGAAGTAGTTGATTCTGTGCTTGACTCCCAGCGAGACAGGGTTCGTGATCTTCTCCTCAGGGATCCGAGGAATACCGTAGGTGCATCCCTCTTCGATTCCCAGATTGTTTTTGCCGCGCACAATCCGGAAGAAGCCCTCCTCGCCCCAGTAGGTTCCCCAGCTGTTGCGAACGATCCAGTAAGGAATTCCGTTCTCCTCGCCCCATCCCACGACGCTGATATCGTGGCCATCGCCGGCAATTCCGGTCTTGTCTTCATAGATTCCTCCCTTGTACTCCAGGAGATCGTCGGGAACGTCGATCGAGCAGGTGACAGGTCCATGCGCGTAGATTTCCTTCATGATGTTCTCCACGCCCTCCACATGGCCGTACTCCTCCACGTAGTACTTCGTGTAGTTATGCACCGCCCAGCAACTCTCCGCATCGCAATTCTGGCAGATGTGAATGTCGTCACACACTTCGTTGTCACGAGCCTCGTAGCGCTGGCAACCCTCTTCGGGGATTCCCACCTCGTTCGCATACTGGTAAATGTGAATGGGCAAACCTCCATGGCAACCATTATCGATCTCTGAGCAATACAGAATTACTTGGATCGAGAGGTCGTGCTCAGGCCAGACATTCTTTGTCATGTATTTCAAACGATCAGTAATAGAAGAGGTGGCAGCGTGCGCCCAACAAGATCCGCAGTACTGAGGAATGTGCTGATTACGGGCAAGAGAGACATAGCTCTTTCCATCGATGTTTCGCCTATTTCTCAGCCAAGCGAGAAATAATATACAAATCGAAGTTTTTGGGAAGTTCCTCCGTCTTGATTACATCCCAGGCATGCGGATTCTTTACGAGTTCCTCTCGAATCACATCGGGCTTCCAAGCCAAAGCAATCGTCAGGACCAACACTAGTCATTATCAATATCAATTGTAGGTACACAAAATGCAATTACGGATCATTTACAATAGATATCTGCAGAAAAACAAAGGTGGAAACTGTTTTCGAAAACTCAATTTAGATCGATAAGCTGGAAATAAGCTGGATGCGAGGTTACTATACACACATTGAAGAGTGCAGAATGGAGGGAGAAAGCTTGTGGATAGCCATTAGAAGACAAGCAAGTCGTGAAATCGTCATACATATTGTACAATGGAGATGCCAACGGATTTCATGATCAATTAGATCAAGCAAATGAGAATAGAAGACCTCCTCAGTCACAACACAGCGCCATTCAAGTGTACATTTGCTAGTCTCCCAATGAAACGAGTACAAAAATGAGCTACGATTTGTCACAGGAATCGCCTATGACTACAATTATAATAGACTCCAGCAATTCGTTCCTTCAATCTCTCAAGTGGAACAAACACAACTGCAAAAGGAAACAAATTAAATTACACGCTATGAATACGTTTACATCTTCGAGTAGCTTTCTGCTTTGGTAGCTGTCGCTTCCCCACATGGATCCCATCTTTATTGACCGATCCAAAAATCTCGCTCTCAGACGAGCATGAAACAACAACGTATCCATCTCCCTTGGGCGGAATATCGGCAAAACTCTCTGCTAACGCTCGGATCCCCTCTTTCTGCCTGTCACAGAGCAACGATTCAATCCTACAGAAATGGGTTTCGCTCCGTCCTCTCCCGCGAGGGCGTTCGATTTGGAGAGTTCCAAATATTCCTCAAAAGAGAGCATTTTCAGCTTCGTTGCCTATCCATAAGACAAATGGGCGAAGACTACTGCACGATCATGGTGAGTGACAATACGTTCCAGCTTCCGTTTTTCTTCGGCAATCTTGAGGAGCTGCACATCCATCGTTCCCAGTGTCACAAAGCGATACACCACAACGTCCCGCTTCTGGCCAAGTCGATGGGCACGATCCATCGCCTGGATATCCTGCTGTGGATTCCAGTCAGAGTCGTACAGAATGACCGTATCGGCTGCACTCAGATTGATTCCCAACCCTCCAGAGCGAGTCGTTAAAAGGAAGATCGGAATGTCCTCTCTAGACTGGAAGTCTTTGATCTCTTGGTCTCGATCGCTTTGCAGTGTAGAGCCATGAATGGAGCAGTTTTCATACCCACGGAATGTGCAATAATCTTCGAGTAGATGCAAAGTCTACAAAGAGAAAAGAAGGGAAGAAGCGGAACCTCTACAAACTGAACGAAGACTAAAACTCGATGGCCTTTAGGAATGAGAACTTTGAGTAGATTGTCTAAAAGAGTTAATTTCGAGGATTTCTGAATAATCGATTCGTCTGTAATATAAGAACCAGAGGACGATTTTTCCTCGTAGACATTATAGGGATGACTGACGAGTTGCCGAAGGATTTGCATTCGGAAGTTTCGAGAGGTCGACTGCATTTGCAAATTGCGACTTTGGAGAAGCTTCTCGTAGCGACCATCAGACGAGCAGATAATGTCATACCTAGATCACACCAGCGTTCGAACCTATACAGTTCCTTCTCGTAGGACGTCATTTCCGTGTAAACAAGAACTTCCACCTTTCGAGGAAGATAAATGTCGATATCGGACTTGACTCTTCGAAGGAAAAAAGGAGAAACCACCTTTCGAAGAGTGTTTACAATATCGGCTTTCAGTGATTCAGAGCTGCTGTTGTTGAAATCAAACCTACGGTCAGAGCAAGCCAGGACACCCAACCATTTTAAGAAATCCGCTGCGCTTGAAAACACATCGGGAAGTAAGAAATGCATAAGAGACCAGAGCTCTTTTAAATTGTTCTACATCACACAGAGTACCAAAAACTCCAACCTGAAGAGGCGTTCCAGTGAGAATGAGACGAGAGGTGTTCGGGCTATGAGCGAACGTAAACAGACATTGCATTAGCTGGCACTCGTTGTTCTTCAGTCGATGCCCTTCATCCACGATCAAATAGAACCATTCCACTCGCTGAAAGGCAGACGCATCGAATCGGACCATTTCGTAGGAGGTTACGAACACCGCGTTATCCATCTACCCATAAATAAAAACGATCAGAGAAGAAGAGATACGCCTCTCTTTGTTTCCTCTGCTTGCAACTGCGTTCGGAGCTGCTTGCGTTCCTCCTTTGTTCCGTGGTATTTGATAACCTCAACGGACGGCAGCCACTTCGCAAACTCGCTCACCCAGTTCCCGAGAGTACTTAAGGGAGCGATGATCAATACCGGACCCCACACGCCTGCTTCTCGTAGACAGGCGAGGAGACCGATCACCTGGATCGTCTTTCCCAGACCCATTTCATCTGCCAACATGCCATGAGACCCATTTTCGAAGAGACGCATCATCCAACTGACGCCTTGAAGCTGGTAGGGAAGCAGCTTTCCCTTGAGCGACTTGGGCTGCTTGATAATCGAAGGATCAGTTGAATTGAATTGCCGCTGCATTTCTTCCACAAACGTGACAGCCCTATTGACGAGGGTCTTCATGTTTTTCTGGTTTGTTTGCCTAACAGATCACAGGTTCTCAGAACGCCTACACCGACGACTTATCCTTTTCCGCCCATTTCTAAATAGTAGACACAAATACAACACATACCCGAAATTCCTCATCAATTTGATCGGAATCTCCCACAGACTCCGGTGCAACGCAATCAATGTCGCTATCAATGCAACCGACACAGTCTGTCTCTTCTCTTTGGATCTGTTTTTCCGCTGAATGGTCTCTAGACCCGATTAGCACATTCCACCGTAAAAACACCCAAACCTACTCTGCAACGTCCTTAACACTCCCGGTATCCGAAGAGAAATCGTCTACGACCGACTTTGGACTGGGATGTTGAGTCAACTTTGAATTTCCGATTGAATCGGTTGGTAACGCAATGCACTTTTTGGGCTTGAAGAACTGTGCAATAGAGACCTGACTCATAACCAAAATCTATAGCGGCAAAATTAGGCGGCAATTTGAAAACAAACAAAAAGTGTCATAATCCTATGGTACACAAATCAGATCCACTAAAGGACACGTAGGAAGCTACATTCCTGCCGCATTGGTTTCGAAAAGGACACCATCAAACTTCGCATCACTGTTGTCTTGAAAACCCAAGGTACGTAATCGAAAGAAGGTCTCGACAGTCACTTTGCTGTCACTTCCAGATTGGTGCGCAGTTCCATCACGAGTTACCTACCCCTCACCGTCACATCCCATCGCTCTACATGAAGCAGTTCTGCTACATGATTCAATCCCCCTGTATACTCAGGGCACATCGTCAACATCATCTTTACATCGTAGAAATGGGGAAAATACACGCGGAGAATACTCAGAAACTCCTTCTGGGTCTCAGGCAAGTCACATCCGGTTAGGATATGAAGCAAGTAAGCAAAGTCGTAGACACCATGGAACACGACCCAAGTCATCGAGGGTGAGAGAACGAGTCCGGACATTGTGAAGAGTTCACCAAAACGACGCGGATTCACACCATTCTTTGCATGAGCGTCGAAGTTAATTCCAGCTTTTTGAAGGAGATCAATCGACTCTGAGTTGCATACATCTTCCCTGCAATTAAACAAGCGCAATACAAGCAGATACGTTAAGCTAAATCGAAAATTAAACTGCCACGACGGAACGTCTTCCGCCACCTTTCCATCCGAAGTACAGAAAGTGATACCTAGTTGGATAAGCTTCAGCTGATTGACATTCTCGCGAATGATCGAGTAGTCGGACAGCTTTCTCTGCAGGTCTTTCGAGCAGAAGCAGATCCCTGGAAATTCGGTGTCCTGCGAATAAACCCTTCCTAGAGACCCTACCATCCCAATAACTGGATATTTCGTTGCAGCTATCATGATCTGATTCATTTCCTTATCCAGATTATAACACCAGACCTCTCGTATTTCATGTTTCTGAGGGTTCGCAGTTGGGGCTAATCTCCGAGAATCCGAGGTTAACCCACTGTTTAAAGCTCGACATGAAGATTCCATTGTAGTAGCAATGATAATACCAAGAGCACTTACGATACAATGTTTCCAACCTTAGAAGGCTTTAGAATCTAGTTCTCTACAAATAGGCAAATAAGACCTATAGAAAGGTAGTCACCAAAGCTAGAAATGGTATGGTACCACTTTTTATGTATTTCCAGTTTTTGGCCCCTTTTTTCAGTTCCAATTCTTAAATGTCGGAATCTGTTTCGGAAGCCAAGCCTAAACCTGATGGGTATTTGGTTCTCGCCAATATCTCGAAGAACCATAATATCGGAAATATGGTGCGGAGTGCTTGTGCATTTGGTATGAAGGAAGTGAGGATTCGATTATTTTAGTAAGGACTAGGTCATCGTCATCGGCCAGCCCAAATTAATGCTCTACGGTTCTCATGGAACCGCTCACCACATAAAGATCCGCAAATTCGGAACGATGGAGGAGGCCAAAGCATGGTTCAAGGAAAATAACATCATTGTTTGTGGAGTTGAGATTGTGCCAGAAGCAGAGGACGTTCGCACCCACCCGTTCCGCGGAAACACTGCGATCATGATGGGCAACGAGGTATTCGGGTATTTGAAGTGTTTGTAATCACTAGGGTTCCGGAATGAATGAGAAGCAGCTGGGGATGTGTGACCATTTTGTCTATATTCCACAGTTCAGTCAGGGGACGGCATCGTTGAATGTGAATGTCGCCGCCTCTATAGTGATGCATCATTTTAGCACATGGGCAGGGTATGAAGAGGCAGAGCGAGAGAAAGACCGAGCGAAATTCGTCGTAGAGTCGTTCGTGACTGGGAAAGATAGGGAGCGGACAGAGGAGGAAATCCAGCTTTCTCAGGAGCGACGTCGACTGCGCGAAGAGAGAGAAAATGAAGATATTGACATGGAAGGTGTACTTGAGGACTAGTTGATACTCTTTTCTATTGTTTCTTTAAAACGGGTATGGAAGAGAAGGAAAAGAAGGAGGAGGAAGCTCCCCAGGAGGAGATACACGACACGGAGTGGTATTTGGATGTATTGCGTGCTACGCAAGAACTGAGGATGAAACGCTATCGCGATGTATATCTTATCGTTTCTGATGCGTTTACACCTAGATTCCTGCTTCCCTCGAGAATCCGCAGGCTTGCGTGACCAAACTGGTGCGTACATTAAAGAAAGTCAGAATGTTCCAGTTGCGGAAGCAGCGCAGACGGTTGGAGAGTTTGGAGAGTCGTTTTTGTTGCGGTTCCTGACTGCGTAGAAAGTGAGTCAAAGGATGAGTCAGAAATTGAGTCTGTAAACCAGCTGATTCAAAACCTGCAGGTTGGACATTTTCCGTCCTGGTGAGATTGTGTAGTCAATCGACATATTCTCTGTTGCGAAGTCCCTCCTTCCAACTCTGATAATGATTCCCGTGCCCAAAGTCGCGGTGTTGGAGAAGGTTGAGTGTAGAAATACCAGAAGCCGATTTCTCCCGAGCTCCAGCGTGCACAGGACTTAGTCATATCATCAAACGACGTAAAGAACTTTATCGCCTCCCAGCAAGTGATTCGCAGGTAGGGCAGGAAAGAGGCGTGCATCTCTCCTAGTATCCCTCGGTACCAGGTCGACAAAGACAATGCAGAAGAAGTTGTGAAGGATGCTGTAAGGGTTCATCGGCGTTGCTACGAGTAGATTTCGTCGTCACGCGAAGAGATTCTGCGAGACAGCAAGAAGCGTCCGATCCGTTTAGAAGACATGACGCGGAAGCAGCGGCGTGCTGCGGAATATCGAATTATGCGCGAGGCTGAGAACAAAACCTCGAAGTTTATCACCAGGTAGAGTATGTGAGAGAAGTACACAAACGTAGTTTGAAGGACAGTAAGGGAATGGGAGTGGCGAGTATTCACAGTCGGCAAGAAGCGGCTCGAAAGGCTCTAATGAGTATGGAGCTTCCCGATAAGATTCGAGGTGAGGGAGAGTGGGAAAGATAGATGAGGGATAGAGGAAGTGTTGAACAAGGACAAGGATACAGACAAAGAAAAGGACAAGGACAAGGACAAGGGAAGAGAGGGATCTACCAAGCGAGGCCAGGGAGGAAGGAAGCAGGGAACCAGCAAGAATGGGAAAAAAGATTCGAAGCAGTGGAAAAAGCCAACGAAGGGAGAGGAGAAGTCGAAGAAAGCGGACCCGTCGAAGCAAACGAAGCAGCCAATTCATCCGTCGTGGGAAGCGCAGAAGGAAAACCGAGAGAAACAACGATTGCACATCGATCTCTCGGCTCCAAAGGAAAACAAGAGTATAATATTTGAATAGTCCACTAGCTCCATGTATTTGTTGAAACAAAACGTGTAATAGAATATTTTACTGGAAGGTCGCACGAGTTGCTTTCGTTCTGTCGGGTGTTTCATACTGTCTCTACAATTTGAGGCGGATAATGGAATGCATACATCTTGAGCACTCTTTCCCACAAGATACACAAAACAAGGAACAAGTCCTAAAAACACGATGGTATTCATAATATTCTGTCCACTCCACTCGAAGCGATTGGTGAGATCCTCCTTAATACCGTTGTGCTCTTCAATCCAGATATTCTTGCGGACGGCAGTTTCGCTAAAGTTGCGACGGCAGCATCGTCCTGCCATTCTCGAGACGTTCTTTACAAACAAACGAGCAGCGTTCATCTTGTATATTGTGTAGAATCTCGATAGTAGAAAGGGAAAGTACTCCCGCGGGAATATCCGAAAAGTGGCAACCTCTTCTGTCTCCATTCACTCGTTTAGTACTTATTCATACATTTTCTAAGCAATGAAAAAGGGTTTCCGAAGCGGTCGCAAAAAGCAGTTTGCAAAGCAACGGAGTGAATATTACTTTGCCCCAGTGGACAAGGCAAATCGCGAAAAGATTTACAAGCGTCTTCTGGTAAACACGTATTTAAACAACGCCAGCGGTATGTCCGTTTTCTCAAAGCCATTTGTAGAGTTGGAGGCGGTAAAGATGGTAATCGAGGGCGAAGCTCCTGTGGAGTCCTTGGAATCGAAGCAGAAGGCTAGTAAGCCAGACGAGAAGCGTCCGTTTGCCTTTATCGAGCGTACGTGGGAAGTGAAGAATCCAACGGAGGAAGAGGTAGGTGTGAGTGATTGAGCATGTTGCCTCGATGTCAACGTCGAGCTATTCGGTAGTGGATAGTTCAAGTTGTGTTCGAGAGAGTAGTGGCAACCGCGTTTTGCATTGTTGCCAACCCGTGGTCCTTAAGGCATCCTCTGGATAGGGGTAGAGAGCATTCTCTCGTAAATCCCCTGTCGATGACGTTTTTTGCGTTAACATTTGAGGTTATCGAGTCATAACCGCGACACATACTAATCTTCTTTAGGTGGAGGCAGCGTTGAAGGCGAAAAAGGCGACCGAAGAGTTTGAGAAGGAGGAATCTGCTCGACGGAAAGCAGCTCTCGCTGAAAAGAAAAGTCAGTAGTTTGTTTTAGTTTAGCTTACTTTTGTACAATGAAATGTTTGTGAGAGAAATCCAAGTGACAGTTGTGGGAGCAGTGTTAGGTTTTAGATTACTTTTTGGATGAGTGAATTTAAACGAGTGGCACTCTACAACCTTCCTGAAGACGTCAGGAAGGAAATTTTGGAGCTATCTGTGGTGCCTAAAAAAGAAGATGGGCTTTCTACCTCTACGGAGAATGAAAATAGCCAGGATGGATTCCAAAAGGAGAATACTTTAGTTCATTTTGCGTGTTCGCTCTGTAGATTATCATTTGCCTCTTTACAGGAGCAACGCGACCACTTTCACTCTGATTCGCATCTACAAAGACTCCGTTCTCAGTACAGCGATGATAGTGAAGAAGAGGGGGAGGATGAAGATAGCAATGGCGAAGAAAAGGAAAGGGAAGAGGGTGACGAAGTGAATCTCGTAGAAGAAGAAGGCAGTCTTTTATCGCTTCAACTCTCCGACAAGCGCATAACACTGTACAAACGGTTGGTGGAGAGTGGGATGAACGACAAAGAGTTGAAGCTCTCCCAGTTGGCTTCTCATTTGGATGGTCATTTTTGCATTCTGTTGTATCGCAGTGGCTATTTCATAATGGGAATCTATGATCATGGAAAGCTGCTTATTACGCGGCAGGAAAAGCGGTATACAACGCGTCGGAAGCAAGGAGGCGCACAGCGGAAGAAGGATAATACGACTGGCAAAGCGAGGAGCATGGGAGCGCGTCTTCGCCGTCACAACGAGGCGTTAATGGAAGAGTTTGTGCGAAAGACACTGCGCGAAAACAAGGAAGAAATCATGAAGTGCAGTGCGGTGTTCATAGGTGCTACGAAGCTGAATTTGTATTGTTTATGGAGTGTGGCGATGAGTGGATAGAGGTTTATTCTTCGAGGAAGGATGTCTAGACAGGAATGCCTCGATCATTCGCAAGGTTCCGTTGTTCTATAAGCGCCCCAACTTGACCGAAATGAATCGCGTGTACCTCCAACTGGTAACAGTGACGCTCTCGCCGCTCGATCTTTCTCCATCAGAGCCAATTCCTGTGGATGTTGCGACGGTGCCAGAGCCCGAGGCAGAGATTGTTTCCGTCCCCTCTGCGAATGAGCCGATCGCAGAGCAAAAGGGGGAGGAGAAGGAGAAGGAGAAGGAGAAGGAGAAGGAGAAGGAGGGTGTTGCGGACAGCTTCAATCCTTTGCTTTTGGAAGATGCTTGTTTGATACTCGGATTTGCTGTGAGGGAATAGATGTGAATTTCTGGAAAGCGGTGAACGAGTCAGACATGGCTGCGATCCGAGTGATTCTATCGGAACGTCCTCACTACAACTATTTATGGTGCGAATCTAGAAGCGGCTTGATCGGTAGGAATGAGGACGGAGAGACACCGCTGCACGTTGCAACGCTTACAGACAACGTCGAAATGGTTCTACTTGTTGATGGGGTGGTTATTGGCAGATTACGGTCTTGCTGGAGTGTGGCAGCGATCCCACGATTCGTGACGAGTTTGAGCGGCTTCCCTATCCGCTGTGTGTTTCAAAGAACGCTCGGGAAGCCTACCGAGATTACCGCGGAGCTCATCCAGACCAATACAAGTGGGGAGAATCGGCTGTGCCTGAACCCATAACGGAGGAGCAGAAGCAGAAGCAGAAGGAAAAGCGAGCGAAAGCAAGAGCAAAAGCGAAGGCGAGAGCCAAAGAAAAGGCGAAGGAGAAGGCGAAGGTTGGAGAGACGGAAGAAGGAGATGATGGTTAGGAGAAAGAAGCTCAGGCAGAACCCGTTGTGGACGTGAAAAAGGTGAACGACTCCTTCACAGATGAGAGTAAGAGGAAGCTCGATATGAAGGAGCAGGTCAGACCGAGTCCACTGTATAAAATGTAGTTAGAGTTGTCGAATCGACTGCATCGGATCGCCTCCCGCCTACAGGTCACCTATCGAACCTTGGTGACATATCTGTCCCAAACACCCGGTTCAATGATAGAAAAGGTTCAGAATTTGGAGGTAGGTTGAGTTCATTGCCTGTTGACTGTAGGATGTGCTGAATAGTGGAAGTGTCCCTGTAGAAATAATATTGGAGAATATGATGGGTTTCTAAATCGTTTTGGCGTGTTTGTTGAAAAGAAAAAAGAGTATTGTATACCCATAATCAAAAAGTGAGATAAAGGCTTAAGTGATCAGAAATGGGAAAATAACGTTACTTCATCAGTAGATCATAAATGTCTACGAAAAAACCTATAATAATTTACATGATGCGAACAGGAAGATATGAGAAGCGATGATTTTTCATAACGACAACTTGCTGATAAATTATTATTATTACCATTCCTTTAATCGAACTTCATTTCCATCCAAACAAACAATCCAAGAAAAATCAAAATAGGGTATTCGAGCAACTCGAGAAGTAGGAATCGGCTTCACCTCTCTGAATTCTCCAGGGACAAGATTTCCCAACGAGTAGGCGCCAAAATTGGTACGCACAAGCTTTTCCACATTCAGACCGACAAATCCCAGTAAATTCTTCACTTCATGGTACTACAAGCATAGTATGCCAAACCCATTCTCTACTTTGCCTTCCGTCACTTGAATCGTGCACCAGTGTTCCATCGCATTCGCCGATGAACGATCTAAATCACGCTTGACGAGGCACCCCTTGTACCTCTTTCCATCAATAATGTTGCTGTGACTCAAGGCCAAGACTCTGGAGTCATCCCACCTCCCGTACACTTTCGCCCGATATCGCCGAGGAATGGCATTAGACGGATGCTCCAGATATCTCGCATAATCTCCGTCATTCGTCAACAGCAACAACCCTTCTGTGTGAAAATCCAGCTGTCCCTACAACAACACAAATGGTCACTAGCGATACGACTGGCATGATGTGACATTCGAGTCCCGTTTTTCTCAATCGATCAAAGATGGTGAGACGATCTAAGCTCGAAAAGAAGCAAAGTGCATATACGCTGACTGTCCGACGTTGTAACCAGCTCTCCGTCTAATTTGTTTGCTATAATCACGCGAGTTCGCTGAATTGGAGAAAGCGGCTTATTATCGACATGAATTATGTCCTGCTGTGTGACATTGATTGCGGGCGAAGTAATAACTTTACCGTTAAGAGTGACCCGACCCATCTCGATCCAGCGCTCTGCTTCACGTCTGGAACATACACCACTTCGTGCAATTCGCTTCGCTATTCGCATCGACAATGCGGCAGCATTTGGAGGGAGCATTCTTTGCGAACCGTTATAGACTTCGAATCAAAACAAACACGAAACATGAAAAACGTATGGTACATTAAAATTACTCAACACTTTGAACAAGACTACACAGTCAGCAGAACGTTACAAAATTCTAACATGGATATATTCCATCATGTCCTCCAAAACCTTTTTCTGCTCACTCAGTCGTTTCAGTTCTTCCTGGATCAATTGAATTTCGACCTGACATTCTTCTTCCATCGCCATGGCCTCCTTCACTTGTTCCCTATCCGACACTTTTTTCGCTGCTCCTTAAACAGAATTCAATTCAATACCTTCAACTTTTTCAACATATGTTACTGTCGTTGGGGCCTTCTTTTGGAGGGCGATTCGCCTTAAAAGAGCACTACAATTTCAAACGAACGCCAAAACTCTACTCTTTATAGCGCTCACGCTTGTCTCCACTGGTATAATTGAATAAGTGGTTGAAACGAATCTTGATTTTCTCGTTCATAAAAACATGAGATGAAAATGGAGGGGTAGGACTGATATAGGTTTGTTTTGAAAGCAAATCACAGCGGGTTTGGCTCAGTTGGAAGAGCGCGGGTCTCATAATCCCGAGGTCGTGAGTTCGAGCCTCACAACCCGCATTCTTTTTTCCAGATAATGGTATCTCTTTATTGAAGCATAATGGAAGGGGAGAATGTGATATTGGTTCAGAATATTGGGGATGAAGATATGGATTTAACAAGCAAGCGATTCATTGACCTACAGGAGATCGTGAATGAGCTGTTCCCTATTATTATTATGCCAATATCTTCTGGTTATGGACTTGTTCCTACTAGCCTACTTATGGAGTCTGCTTGCTATCCCTTTATGCCAGATACCTTATAGAGTGAGCCATTCGTAGTAAGTGTTTTGTAAGAATCTTGCTACTTCCTCACAACCGATCAACCAGCTCATCTTTCTTGACAAAAGACTTTCCATTACCAATACACAGCGTCTGGATTATCTCACAATCCTTTTTTCCTTCCTTCCTGTGTTTAGAATCGAATCATCCTTTCTTCCTTCCTTCCCAAAACTCTCCGTATTATGAAAGATAAGGAACAGAATGGTGTTGGTGAATGATGTCAGAAATGAGAAGATTTGGTCGCGATCATGAAATGATCGATAATGGATGCGTAATGCAGAATGGTATTTTGTAACATAAAAAGAGAAAATGGAGGATGATGCAGGCAGTAGTGGTATTTCCGTGAGTAATTCACAAGGATCATTTCAGTGCTCAGTCAAATTCGATGATGGTTCTAAACGCGATTTGTTATGTTTGTTGCACATCCAACAGAAATGGGAATGACGATACTGTCTGTTATAGAGAACACCACTCATCATTGTTAACATTACATTACACTAATTTACCAATCTAACAAATTTCCAAAGAAAACTATCAAATATCATGTTTGAATCAATTCAATAGAATTAATTGAAAATCAAATGTACTCCTTATTAATAGTAATGAATTAATGAATTTTCAATTGTGAATGGGTTATTCATTATTAATTGTTTCTATATTATGAATTTCACAATCTTATACTGGATTCTCCATAAATTTCTATTATCAAAATATTCTAATAACAATAAAATGAAAACATGTAAAATACGATTGTAATTACTATGAACAGATAAATTAAAATGTATTAATTTTCCAACACATATTAGAATCAATTAAATACTTACAATTATTTCCCACATCTATCCCACCCACTTCGATCACTTAGTCTACATAAACAATTTCTCTCCGATTGAAGTTCCCTTAAAAATCGACATTGCTCCTTGTCACTCTCTCAATCCACCCCCACTTTTCCCTTCAAGAGAGCAGCGAGAAGAAGGAACGCACACACCACAAGTCGCTTTCCATCGAGTTCGAAACAATCAAATGGCAGGACATGCACGCTGTGAATAAAGATCTAAAAGAAGATCATGATTCGGATCCGTTATTTAATTGGATTTTTGGTTGGTTTCATTTCACCGTGTTTTTACTTTCCGCGGTATTAAGTTTTTGATTTTCAATTTTTTTTGGCCGAAGCGCTTACTATGCATCCGGTGGACATGATTACGCAGAAATAACGTGTAGAGACTAACATCTTCTGAAGATGTATATAGATCGACGTCAGGCTCAGTTCATTCCAACTATTATTATGTATTATGAATTTTATGGCAATTCCAATGTTTAGGATACAGCGAACGAGAATACTTCAACTGGTCAGAGAAAAAAAGAGGTCGACTCGGATTTAGAGAATTATTTGCGCTATAATTCTAGCAGCACTGATTTACGTTTGGATTCCGCTTCGAACCCTGACCTTGATTTTGATTGGCAAACTCCAACTTTTTCAAGATATAACCACGGAGGATCGATGGCTTCTGGATTCGATCCTTCGTTATCTTCGTTTTCCTCAACTTGTGAGGGTGTGGCAGCTCCGAGTTCGTTTTATATGCCCGATGCCTATGGCTACTCCTATCGGCCTAGAAACGGAGCCCTTGTCGATGAAGACCTGTTCATGGAGTTTCAACCTCTGTACCCGGAAACCGATATCTATCCGCTCAGTCCCATGTATGAATCGGGTCTCTGGGAGCCTCACCGCATGCGCGCGGCCTCCGAGATGATTCGTCAGCGTAATCGCACATCTTCGGTCACTGCCTCGATTCCTCGATCCTACAGCTCCGTCGACACGGAAATCTTCGCCTCCCCGTACTCCCTCTACAACCCTCTCCCCTCCACCACGCTCTCCAGTCCGGTCAGTTCCGCCGCGGACCTTCCCTCCGAGCCCGTCGATCCCTCCCCCAAGAAGCCTCAGCCCGCCCTCTCCTCCTCCACCGCCTCCTCCTCCCTGCCCTCCAGCGCTCCGCCGCGCAGCGGGCAGGCCAGCAGCGTCTCTTCGGGCGGACAGCGCAGCGGCAGCGGCAGCGTGGCCTCCGACCGGCAGCGCGGCGGCGCGGGCCGCGGACGGTCGGGAAGCCAGGCGAGCGGGGCGTCGGGGAGCCAGGCGAGCGGACGGTCGGGGAGCCAGGGGGGCGGGCACGCGAAGAAAAGGGGGAACGGCGAGGGAGAGGACGTGAATGTCGACAAATTGAGGTCGGGAGAGGACTCGCGGACGTGCGTGATGCTGCGGAACCTGCCGAACCGGTACCACATGGAGAACCTGCACAATATGCTGTACGAGGCGGTGGGCGATCACTACAACATCGTGAGTTTGCCGTTGGATTCGGACACGCACCGAAACCTGGGGTACTGTTTTGTGAAGTTTAGGTCGGTGGATGATTTGATTCGCGCGTATGAACACGTAGCGATGGGGCGGCGATGTGATGGTAGATGCAGGGGAGATCCTGGCCCTATTCAGAAAGCTTCAAGACGTGCCGTTTTTGCTATGCGAAAATCCAAAGGGAAAGTTCGACCTCTAAGTCCCAGTTGCGCTCTAAAAAACGGGTGGCTACTTATACAGTCCCTTTTGAGACTGCTAGCGAATCGTTTTATTGAAACTATTTACTTCATGGTTTGTTTTGCCCAGTAGTAGTATTTTGTTTGTTTTGATAACCGAACCTTCTCCAAGCAGGATGGACAGCCTTTTCTTGTGTAGAAACCTTCTCGATGAAATTATGAACAATCCTGACGCTGGTGCGATGAAGTTTGTCTCTGTGATTTCTAGAGCCCTTTATGACTCCTGTGCCTTGGAAGGAGTGGAATTTATTCGATTATCCCGAAATTGTGAAGAATCCAATGGATTTGTCAACTGTCAAGGTTTTCCCCGTTCTTTCAATATCAGATGTAGCAAAAGTTAACAGATAACAAGTACCCAGATGCCTACGCGTTTGCCGAGGACATGAGGTTGATCTGGAGCAATTGTATTCTCTATAACCCAGAAGGAACGGAAGTAAGGGCTGCGGGAGAGCACTTTTCGGTGCTATTCGAGGAGAAATGGAAGGCGTTACTGAACAAGCGTAGGTTCTTTCTCTCGATGAATAACAATTAGTTCCGGAAAATTGCAAGTGCTTTTGTCGGCGATTTGAGCCTTATGTGTAGAATTCCATCCAAAGAAAAGAAAACTCAATTCGCAGAAAACTTCTCGCGTTTAACCTCGGAACAAATAGAACACATTGTTACCACCTTGCAAGAGCAATGTCCAAAAGCCCTTTCCCAAGTAGAAGATGCGGAAGCGTTGTTGAAAGTGTAGGGAGAAGAAGGGCAGCTGGATATTATAATCGATTCGATTAGTGTTGGTGCTTTTTATCCACTCTTCCAGTATCAATTGGATTGTTTATCATAGAGTTGTGTGAAATAGAAGATATGGTTAGGTTATCTGTTATATTGATTTATTGATTTATTGATTTAGTTAGTTAGTAATTCACTTGTTTGTTTCCTAAAATGCTAGGTTGTTTCGTACTACATACATTTTATATTTTAAGAATAACGAAAGAAATAGAATCTCACAGGAACCCGTACAATACCATGGAGGAATCACCCTTCGATCGTTGGATCGATCCGCAGCAATCCATCGCAATCCAATCCACACGATTTTGTACAACAAATAAACAAATAGGAACTACTAATATACTCCATCATCTTCTCGCGCAATATCGTCACAACATACTCATACGAGGAAGCCAAACGGACCGTTTTCTGACCTACGATCAACAATCGGTCTCAACAATACCGCGATTACCGCCTGTAATTTCGATAACATACAGCAGTGTTTGATCGCGCCGCTTGCTCGTCACCGGGCCAATCATTTACGGATCGGGAGAACTCCACAATGCGTACTAAACATCGATGGATTGGAAGGCTCCAATACACTGCTCGACGGAATTTCCAGTCGTTGAGCGTTTGATACAGTTGCAGGGCATTGGGGATCAGCATGAACACGCAGTGCTTCCATTTCTTGAAGACGAGCTTTGTTTGGGTCTGCTTGAGAATTAATCCACACAGAAAAGTATCACAGTAGAACAACGGAGGAAGAGTACTATTAAACTGGAGGGATGAAGCAGTTGCATTCGTATAATTTGGAATTGAATTGGAGGGATTCACGCCCACAGGCACGACTTGCGGTGGGTTTTGGTTGTATGAATAGAGAGAGGAGTAAGTGTACACCGCCTGCGGCTGAACCTCTGGCGCATTGTAATAGTTTTGTGTTGTTTGCTGGACATATGTAGCGTATTGCATGTCTCTTTGGTAAAGCAGATCCAAATTATCGTTGTCTCGATGAAGCAGAGAGACCAGGAGCGAACTATTTCCCTGGGAATGCTGAGCAATCGCATCACGAACACGCAAATCTCCTTGAAATGCAAGTTGATGCAACTCCGCTGATTCCGCTTCAGTTATTTCACCAGCTGCAAACAGGAGATCGATTTCATCGTATATCACTTGCAGAGCAGTCTTGGGTGCATGCACTACCGTAGCAGTTTGATAGTTGCAGCTGAGCACATCCGACTGTTGCTGATACCCATTTTGAACTTGCAACGATCCCTGTCCTGGATCATAGCCTCTATTATTGGAATAATCATAGTTATCCAGAGTCGTGTTGTTACTGACAACAATATCTTGAGCAGAAGTATTTGCTCCCTCAACATTGTATTGATTCTCCTCGCTTCCATAGTAAGCATCTGGGGACTCGTTTGTTTCATTCTCAGACACGAAATCTTGAGTGGTTGGACCAACACCCATTGAAACAGGAGGAGGCGTGTAATTATGACTCCAACCACTGCGATAATGAGGATGCTCAGGCTGGATTAGCTTCTAAAATGGTAATCGACGATAAGCCTCACATCAGGATGCCGTTGTGACCACGGAATTGTAGAATTATCCATTCTTGTATAAAATAATGAATCAACGTGCAAAAAACGAAAACGCGTGCCATTCTCGTGTTTTCGTTGTTTGCAGGGACGTATTTATCAACTCAACTCAACATGATGATACAACGCATTCTAACAAACAAACGAATCCTCAATAGCCCGATAAAATAACATGTAAGGTGCGCACTGTAATACTTCCTGGAAACTAACTTCTCTTATGACATCGTCGTTGCAGCAAATCCATCCCCTATCGAAACGATAACAATACGCTAGATAGTGTCCATGCATCAAATCGTTTCCAATATGGCTAATTACCTACAATTCACGGCTATTCCATATTTCAACAGCAAAAAGTTCATATTTTTCATATTTTAACGTCGAAACACTTGGGTACTCCGCAATGGACAGGTTCTTTTCAAAGCGAATCGTCTTTCGAATTTTCTCCAGACTTGCGAGTTTCCGGTTATAAGTAAAACGAAGCAGATGGAGAACCAGACAGGGAGGCGACTGTTCGAAGGAATACCCCATCCCCTACCCATGAGCCGAGCGAACTGGGTTTACATCTCTCGCTCCACGCAAAAAGGCGCGCAAAGCGTCCTCCACCGAAGTAATCTACGCTTCAACCGAATTGCTGTGCGCTACTCCCGCTCCAATGATAGGAAGAGACAGCGTGATATACGATTGCATTTCGATGTGATCTCTTTTCGAGCGCAGCGCGGTCTAGCTTTCAAAAAACCTCACCGTTCTCACATTTCTGCGCAGCTGGGTTTCAAATAACGAGTTAATGAGCGAAGTGTCCATGACAGAGCGCGTTAAGAGCACGCTCCGACCTCCATTTCCCACTTCCTCCCATTCTCCATCCGAATTGTCGGTGTGGGGTATCTCAGTCAGAGATGCCACTTCTTTGGAGATTTCTTCCATCAGAAACAGAAAGAATTCCTGGACATCGGATTGCTCGCCAGCAAACATGCAATTCCGAACGGCGAATACTAAGGAATCACAGGTTCGTGACATACTCACACTCCCGTAGCTCCTGAAGATTCACGCGAGGCTTCCTTTTGTCTTCCTTCCATTTTTCCTCGGCTTTCTTCATAACCGCGATCAAGCGGAAAAGCAGAGTTAATAAAGGGAGATTGGGATTATCCACACCTTTCGATATGGAACACATATTCGAAAGTAATTTAAAGAGAGGAGGACAATGCAAAATGCACTAATAATCACAATGAAAGAGGAACAAACCTGGATAACGCTATTTTGATAACAGTTGTTGCATTCGTTAACCAGTCCAACGGTTTTGTACTCCGACATTACAGAAGAATCGGTTAGCTTGTCTTCATTTTGTAATATTGTAGTCACATCGTTAGCTACAGCAGAAATGTAGTCTCTCAATAGATTTTGAACCCCATTTACAGAAAGATTCTCTTCCTGTGATTGAAATCGAATATCGTATTCTTGGAATGCTTTTGTTTCATAACTAGCACTAATAGGAGAGACAGAATTCTCTGGTGAAGGAGGTACTTTCGGACGATTGCTTTTCAAAATATGGCTACTCCCCTTTGATAACCAAGGATTAGTAAACTTTTTGGGTGCCTCCTCTGACATAAAACAAATTTTGAAAAAAAGAGTGACAAAACAAATACACAGAGTAAACTATTCTCTTTGCATTTTTAATTCGTGGCAAGTAAGTAATGTAATATGCTCAACAAAGGACAAGGTGCGAATCAACGATGACAGATTACACTATATTGCCCACGATTGATGATTGGTATGTTTAAGAAGGGAAATTGCTTTTGGAATGTCATTTCCTCGCGTTATCGTCATGATATTACGTTAATATTGTCTAATCAATCAATCTTCACGACAATCATAAAACTAGCTATATAGAAAACTAGGAAATGGGCTGAAAGTCGATTTCAATCCGATTTTCTATATTAAATGATTTATGACCATAGTTATAAATGAACTTAGTTCCAACACAAATGATGCATAAAATACTATCTATTTTCGTTTTGTATATTATTGTATTACGTTAATAAATGTACATATAAGAGATTTAGATAGCTACTTCAAATGTGTGGTAAGTGCGATACATCGATATTCTTATTTAGATCTCTTTCTTGGAATCGATTTGAGTACTCAAAGTTGCAAAGCAACACTCCTTGATTCAACTCTTGCTGTGACGCATTCTGCTACAGTAATCTTTGAAGAAGACCTTCCACAATACAATGCGAAGGGAGGAATCTTGATACGCGAAGGTGGAGTTGTCGTTTCTCCAACTTTGATGGTATTTACGACTTGAGTCTATATTATCACTAGTGGGTAGAAGCTCTAGATCTTTTGTTTAGCAGATTGAAGGAATCTGGAGTTTCTATGAATTTGGTGACCTAATTTACATATGATTATATATATAGATTAAATCAATAAGTATAGGAGCTCAGCAACATGGTAGTGTGTACTGGAAAAAGGGTTCTCGCTCACTTTTGACAAACTTGTGTTCGAACGATTCACTTGTTAACCAATTGAAAGATGCATTTTCTATTAATGGTATATTAAATATATATGTGTATAGTTCTAAATATAGAATCTCCGATTTGGATGGATAGTAGTACTGTATCTGAATGTGCTGCCTTGGAAGAATCGATGGGAGGAAGTATGAAACTGGCTGAGATTACTGGTTCAAAGTTGATATCATCACGACTATTCCGTTACTATATAGAGCATATACACGTTTTACCGGAAATCAGATTGCTCGAATCGCGAAACTTTATCCTGAAGCGTATGAGAATACTGAACGAATTTCTTTGGTGAGTTCATTTGCCACTTCTATTTTATGTGGTGATTATGTTAATATCGATCTGAGTGATGGGAGTGGTATGAATCTATTGGATATTCGTACTCACAAATGGCATATTCCATGTCTGAATGCTTGTGCACCGAATTTATACGAACGTTTAGGAGATCCTGTTCCAACAACAACACTCGTTGGAAAAATCCATTCGTATTTTGTCGAGTATATTCTAATCATATATATATGATCTAATAATATAGAAAATATGGTTTATCTCCTTCATGTGACATTGTTTGTGGAAGTGGGGATACTCCTTGTTCGTTGGTAGGTTTGCGAATGAATCGTCCTGGTGATATTGCGATAAGTTTGGGAACAAGTAACACAGTATTTGCCCTAATGAATGAATGTAAAACTGATATCGAAGGTCATGTATTTGTAAGTCCTCTAGACGAAAGTAAATTCTGCTTTATCATTTTGTTTTTAGATACTTATATGAAACTTCTTGGATTTGCTAATGGAGACTTGCCTAGAGCGCGTGTATCCTATTGTATAAAATTGTGACATATAGACCTGCCAGCGCTATGCCAACAACGATTGGAATGTGTTTTCTCAACTTGTCGAACAATCGCCTCCTGGAAACAATGGTTTCATCTATATTGATCGTTATGTTCCTGAAATCACACCGGATAGTCGAGTTTGCGGAATATTTATGTTCAATGGAGATGGTGAAAAAGTCGACAATCTATCTCCTTGTGAATGTTGTCGTGGTATAATTGAATCTCAAGTACTATCGATGCGTCTTCATTTGGAAAAGTAGTAATTTTGACACAATGAATATGTAATAGAACGGGATTCAATCAATTTGAGCGACTGATAGTAACTGGTGGAGCATCTGTAAATCATTCTATATTACAGATAATAGCGGATGTTTTCCAGGCTGATGTATTCACAATCAATGTGAAAGATAGTGCAAGTGTTGGAGCTGGTATTCGTGGTTACATAGGATGGTTGAAAGAAACAAATCCTGCTATGTCGAATGAAACATTCTTTGATGAAAGAACGAATGATGAGAGTTTGAGAAAAGTTGCGAGTCCAAATCATGAAGTGAAGCATATATATGATGAAATGCTATTGAAATATTCAAAACTTGAGTCAAGTCTTTCCATTGTTTGAGATTAGATGATACATATTATAAATATTGTTTTTCACAAATCTATAAACTTCTTTGATCATGATGTGTAATATACGTGCTGTGTTTTTGTTAATTAAAGGATATTTAGAAATAATAGAGTTTATTGAAATTCATTTTGCTTATCGCGTAAGCTACATTATGGTAGAGGGTTTTCATAAGCTACGGATTGATAATGTAATACCAAATTGAAGGATCAAGATCGATCAGTCAACACAGAAAGTGCTATTAAGAAAATATACGGGATAATTAGTAAATGGAAAGGGTCAACAATGTGTATTAGTAATTTGAAAACATACGAACTATCATCCTACAGTCAATCATTGTTTTTCGAATTATGGGAATAATGCATAAGTACGCGAGTATATAGGGCGAAAATGTATGTAAAATATGCATATTAGACTAAGAAATCACGATACCCTATACCATAGTAACATAAAACGTAATATAATTTATATCAATATAGATTGGCTTAATGAAAGGAGTGCGTTTGACATCTTGGCATGATTATTATGTTTGAATCAAACTCAATGTCACATATTAAGGAATGAATAGTATAAGGCCTCTATACTGTTCTAGATTCCCAGTTATACCGAGTTACGCAAATCTTTGATAATTACTTCTTGATTTTGACACGATCAGCAAGAACAGGAGAAACATCTAAGAATGATTAAATTAGGAAAGTATTACTCGTAATTGATTTGGATTGAACAGTTAAAAACGGCTGGAAAATATCAACCTCTTGAAGATTGGGAATATCTATATCAAATCAGTATTTTCGATCTCAAGTACTGTCTAGTATAACATTCCGAACATCGCGGAAACTCCATCCATCAGAATAAATGGATACAAGATTTGGTAGATCTACATTCACTCATTTCTAACCATTCCAATCATACTTCGCATTACCAGTAAGCATGAATAAATGTCAATAATACCACAAAGTGAGCCTAAACCGAGTTTAATAGATTTCAGTTGCGGGAGATCTATATCAATCATTTCATTCGGATTCATAAATACTTTCGATTATTGTAATTGCGGAGAAAGCGAATGTATATTCACCTAAATAAATGGATTGTAAATTAGGAAAATCTAATCGTTCAAAAATTCTATATCAAATCAATACCTCGAATCACGAATGAACTACAAAAGAAATTGTATGAATTCCTTTCTATTGTACCAATATGAATAGATTGCAGTTGTGGTAGATTTTTCAATTCAAAGTCTCCAGCAAAATCACTGAAACTAAATTGACCAATTTCTATCGATTCTAATGATTCACAATTCAATATGTGCAATGATTTCGATTCATCAATACCATAATAATTCTTAATCTGAGTAAATGATTTTTCACCGATTTTAAGAGTTTTCAAATGATTTAATCCATCGATTTTGATCGCTTTAACTGATCCAAAACATTCATTACCGATTACGAATGATTCGATTGATTCACAATTTGCCATGTAAAATGCTTTTGGTAATTCAGTACAGAAATCTCCACCTAAATCTCTATCATCTAAAATGCTGTCATAAATATCTCTTAGATAGTTCTGAACATAAGAATTGTATTCACTTTTCTTCGAATAGGAACGTTGGAATCCATCAATTTTGATTGTTGTTACTGATCCAAAACATTCATCTTGAATTTCAATTGAAATGAGTGACTGACAGTTTGTTATGCAGAATAATTTAAACCCATTATCGCTTCTATGAATTGAATAATTATCATAATAATCATCACTCTGATCACTGAAAGAATTACTACTATATTCATCGTAATAATCTCCATATATATCCCTGTCATTATCAAAATAGTTATAGATATCTTCGAGGTATCTTTGATTAAAGGAGTTCTTGCCGATTTTGATCGTTTTCAATCGATTCAGTCCATCGATTTTGAATGTTTTCACTAATCCAAAACGATCATTGTTAGTTTCGAGTGATTCCAGATTATACAACAATGAAACATCCCATTTATTCAATAAACAATTGTCACTCAATTTCAATTGTTTGATTCCAATATTGATTGGATCTAAGCCATTTCCTTCATATTCTTTAATATCACTTTCAATCCCATTATACCACATGCATTCATTCACTAATTTCCCTGATCGATCATACAGTTTTCCACTTCCAAATCGCTTATCATCACACCAATATCCTTCATATTCAATACATCCATTATCATGATAACTCGTTCCATATCCAAATCGTTTCCAATTGATCATTATGCCCTTGTACACCAATATTCCATCATCATCATACATTTCACCATATCCAAATGGAATTCCAATTTTACCTTCGTTTTCTTTTTCTGTCAATATCAAGCCTTCAAATCGACTTCCATGATCCAAATCCACGATTCCTTCTACTACTATGGATTGTTCTTCATTATATGAAATAGCACCAAATTGATGATTTCCGAACACTTTCAACACTTTCTGCTCATTGAGTACAAATCCTTGATTCATGAATACTCCATTATCGAATTGCAATACTATGCATTCTCTATTACTCAATATGAGTGAAATCCAGCCATCGACTCTCCACTCTTCATTCAGGTATGCTTGTACATTTTGGATGATGGAACTATCAATATGATAGTCATTAATAACAGAATTGACGAAATCAGCAATGTTTTGCATGGAAAAATATGGTGCAAACATGACTTTTACAAAACACGTGATAGTACATTTTCTTATCATAAAAAAGATTATCGTAGTATTTTCTTTTTTCTAAATATGGTGTTTACTCATGAATTGAGATAGGAATTATAGGATACTTTCATGGCAGTTCATCCGCTATAATTTGCTGTGTTTTCCTACATTTATTAATTTTCAACCTAGCGATATTTTAGTAATAAATAAGAAATGTATGATAAGCATATCAGGACTATTATTTAAAACTACAGTAAAAAATACATCCAGCATTGTGTTGTATATAAATAACATTATCATAGGAAAATGCATTTAGTACTTTTATCAAAAAGGAGGAAAAACGGTAGTATTGTTTTTTAGATTATACTTGATAAAGGCACATGAAGCTGGTTTCGCAATGCGATATAATATATATTTGGCTACTTGTAAGAAAAGAAATCAAATCACGTGATCCAATTTAAATTTTGATTGACATATTATAGTTCATTTACCTGTAATTGTATCTCACATAGTACCTACGTTTTAGACATTATGTGAGAATCATATGCTGTTCAATAAATACTAATAATAAATATAAATGCAAAAGAATGGGGGTAACTATTCGTCATATGTATTATTACATAGCGATAATAGCTTCTATGATTGTATCATTTTACTTTAATTATAGTATCAACATATCACGTGCATCTCTAAGTAGATTACAATAAGAAAGTCACACAATTACCACACTTTGATAGGATCTGTCGTATTCAAATTATGGAGTTTGAATTATACTCGAAGCATTTTATGCTTTTTGAACATAGATAAGGACAGACATGTGTAGACATCATTTAAGAAACGTGGCTTGCTTAATTATAACGCTTATTTTGTCATTGCTTTGTAGATCATATAATGGATAATTACTTCAATAAGGAAATATGATAATAAAAATGCTAAATATAGCTATTTTTAAAAAAGATATCGATAGCATTCATAATAAAGGTTAACAAGAATATTCATGAAGTCAAAAATAAATTGTTCTGTCTCAAGCTATAAACGTTATCTGTAAGCTATATTTCAGAACAACGAATATACTAACCTTATAAAATTACATATCGATAATAAACAGATGTATTATTCAACTGTAGAGAAAGCTTTTACTGAAACGTATCATTACCTAAAGACTAATATGGTGAAAAGAGAACCACTATTCGACACAAGATTCTACAAAGAACTTGAGTATTGTTCGAAAAAAGAGAATACTATATGATGTTTCATTTGATGATTGTGAAATAGGATAATTATTGATGTACCCTTACAGATAATAGTAAACAAAAACAATTATGATAAACTTAGTTTTTGCTACATGCAGTAGCACAGATATTTATCAATTTCTTTTGTTTGTGATGGTATTTTCCAGAAAATCATAAATGATATTACTAATAATAATGAACTATAATGAATTTGTCATATTGCTTTTTGCATAAACGGTGCTAGCTCATATACATTCTTATTTCAGCTCGTTATTTGTGTAAATTAGTAAATAATTAAACTAACTACTAGAAAAATGTTTGAATTTGAATTCTATTCTATGCAGCTTTTTATTAAAGAACTGTGTCTCCAAAGCCGATTACCTTTTTCCCCTGTTTTTTTCGATGCAAAACACTGTTGATTTTGTCAATTCTGCATGTAATAATTATTATATTGATAGTTCAATTATACAGAATACACAAGCATGCCTGAATGTACAGTGGGAAGCTGATAAATGGATTTCACTCCTATCGAGTAACAGAGAATGCATAGTATTGAAATACAATATTGGAGTATTCATTAATCAAGGATTTGTGGTCAATAATGAGAAAGTACTCAAAGTGTTAGGAAAGCATCAAACTGGTAACAATTCAAATAATGACGGAGTCACTACTAAAGGAATCGTGGATTTGGATCATGGAAGTCGATATGAAGGATTGGTGTTGACAGAAAATGAAGGGAAAGTAATAAATGGAATTCTATTTGATAATGGAACGAGTTATCATAATAATGGTTTGGTAGAATATGAAGGATACTGGTATGATAACAAGCGATTTGGAAATGGGAAAGTGTATGTTTGATATGGTAAATTAGTGAATAAATGTAAATGGTATAATGGAATTGAATGTGAAGAATATGAAGAAGATGGCTCAGAACCAACGAATATCGGAATGAAACATTTGAAACTGAGTGACAATTGAGTATTAGTTAATTGAGTTGTTTCTTGGTCGTTTAAAAAAGGAATCACTTGAAATTAACAATGATAGTATTG